GGGGGGGTCCAAGGATTTGAGAGGTTCAGAGATTTGGGGGGGTTCAGGCATTTTAGAGGTTCAGAGATTTGGGGGGTTCAGGGATTTTGAAGGGTCCAGAGGTTTGGGGGGTTCTCAGAAATGGAGCTGTCCTGGGGATTTTAGGGGGTCTCGGGGGTGGGGGGGGGGGGGCCCGGGGGGCGGGGGGGGGGGGTCCCAGGGGGTCTCACCGGGGTCAAACAGGGGCTTCTCCCTCTCCAGGGCCTCCCGGAATTTCGTTTTCCGGCGCTTCTTCCCCAAAGACACCTCGGGGCGGGGCCGGGCCGGGGGGGCCCCGGGGGTGTAATCGGCGTCCATCTGGGGGGGGGGGGGGGGGGGGTGAGGGGGCTGCACCCCCTGATCCTTCTTCCCCCTTACCCTCATCCTGCCCCCCACAATCCGGCCCCCCCACCCCTGTGACGAGCTGTTGGGTCTCTGCCGGGGGGGGGGGGGGGACCGCCGCGGGGGGGGGGGGGATCACAGCGGGGGGGGGGGGGGTCACATCCTCACCACAAAGTCGGGGTCCTCACAGTGGGGCTCCGGCTCAGCCGCCCCCTCCTCCCGCCCCGTCCAGGCGTCCCAGTTCCAGTCGTCTGTGGGGATGGGGGGACATGGTGACAACGGGGGGGGGACACAGTGAGGACCCCCTGGAACCCCCCCACTCACCTTCCAGCCCTTCCTCCTCCTCGAACTGCGGCTTCTCCTCCTCCCCCCGCCCGTAATATTCCTCCCCGAACCATTCCTGGGGGGAAACGGGGGGGTCAGCGGGAACGGGGGGGTTCAGGGAGGGTTTGGGGGGGGTCGGGGGCACCCACGGCCATGAGCTGGTCGTGGTGGGCGGGGTCAAAGTCCTCCTGGAGCAGCGAGTCCGTGAGGCCGAAGGCGTCGGAGCCGGAGGCGTCGCGGATCCGGGCGAGCCGGGCGGCCAATTCCTGACGCTTCAGGTTCTTCAGCTGCTTCAGCTCCTCCCTGCGCCGAGCCCGCTCCTGGGGGGGGCACGGGGGGGGTCAGGGGGCACCCC